GTGTGTGGTTGTGTTTTAATAAAAGTTATGTGGTATTTTCATGAAGATTATGCTGTGTTCTTTCATTTCCAATTCTTATGTCATATTGACCTAGGTAGAGGGAAATCCCCTTCTTGCTAAGAGGCTTGTAAAAGCTTGAATTCCTTGGCCAATTGTGTCACCTACCTAGGTTGAATTAGGGCAAACCTCTTAATAAGTATTAGCACCTTGGGTAGGTTGTAATTTGGCCGTCCAAATTATGGTTTGAGGGTGAAGTCTAAACAACCCTTAGTCGATTGGGCCATGAGAGTTACCTTGGTAGCTTGATTTGAAATATCTTGGGCTAGATACCGAGAGACTAACGATTGTTCAGTTGTTTCATTTCCCTACAGTTTACAACCGCCTTTAGCCCTTTACCACACATTTGTATTCGATCCAACAAATCATGATTGCTAGCTAGGGGGAGCAACACCCGGGTGAAGCCTTCTCAATTAGTGTTCACATCATTTACTTTTCCAATCGTTTTAGTTGTAAATCGTATTTTTAACTAAAAATCATTTGCTAGATAATGTTTCAAACAATTAAAGTAGGGGTACATGGATCGGTCCGGGTTTGACTTTTAAAACATATTTGCCTTATATTTCACCCGGTTAAAGTTTATACTTGGGCCTTAATTGGGATTTTTATTGTGATATTCGGGACGAGTCACACCCACACTTTCTTTAATTAAGCTAGAGTGGAGGAGCTAAGTTGCACCATTACTTATGCTCCACCTTTGAGGGTAAAACTTACTGATGGCACGGTTCTAATGAGTAATTCATCATGTAAAGCATTTAGTTGGGTGATGTAAGGACATCAATTTTTTAATGATGTGAGGATGTTGAATCAGGGAACTCATGACATGGTACTGGGACTTGATTTGTTAAGGACTATCAGTCCAGTTAAGTTTGACTTTGTCAATCTGTAGTTGTTCTTTGAAGTGGAAGGCCAGGAAGTAGTGTTGACTGGAGAGCAAGAGTTGGGAAGTTGCAAGGCTATGTCAGGGAAGAGTTTGCAGAAATTCTTTAAGAAGAAAATGCAGGGTTGGACTGGTCATTTCTTCAGCATCACTGAGATACCCTATTTTATGTTGCCTACTACCACTAAGTACTTAGATCTGTTTGGTAAACCTCATACCATTCTCCCTTCCAAAACCTGTGATCACACCATTCCTCTCCAACCTAATTCCCAACCAATTAACCTCTGACCATATAGATATCCACTACTTCAAAAAGACATTGTAAGAAAATGCTTGCAGAAATGATGGCCTCAAACCTTATCCAAACAAGTAAAAGTCTTTTTTGCTTCACGTGTACTTTTGGTAGGAAAGAAAGATGGCACTTACAGATTTTGTGTAGACTATCGACAGCTGAATTCCATCAACATTATTCTTATTCCAGTTATAGAAGACCTTTTAGAAGAGTTGAGAGGATCTAGATTCTTTACCAAGTTGGATCTTTGTCAGGGTATCACCATATTAGGATGAAACCTGCAAATCAATACAAAACAACATTCAGAACTTACCTTGGGCACTTTGAGTTCTTGGTTCTGCCCTTTCGACTCACCAATGCCCCAGCCACATTTGAAGCCTTAATGAATACCGATTTTGCTCCCTACCTCAGAAAATTTATATTGGTCTTCTTTGATGACATCTTAGTATACAACCCTGATGAGTCCAGCCAAACTAAACACCTTGACCTGAGAACACATGCACTGTTTGCCAAGCCTTCTAAATGCTCCTTTGGCCAAACACATGTTGAGTACTTAGATCACATTATCAACAGTGGTATCCACATATCCCAGTAAGATAGTTGTTATGGAATCTTGGCCCACTCCAAGGAATGTGAAGGAACTGCGAGGCTTCCTGGGCTTAGCTGGTAACTACAAGAAATTTGTGAGACATTATGGACCCATCCGTTAGCCATTGATATATCTAGTCAAGAAAGATGGATCCTTGTGGTCCACTGTTGCAGATATAGATTTTCAACAACTCAAAGTTGCTATAACTCAACTCTTAATTCTTGCTCTCTTTGACTTTAGTAAGACTTTCACTCTAGAAACGTATGCAAGTGATATTGGCATAGGGCTGTGTTATCCTAGGAAGGTAGGCCTTTAGCTTACTTGAGTCAAGCGTTGGGGGTTAGACAATAGGGATTGTCTACATATGAGAAGAATTATCTTGCAGTCTTGCTAGTACTAATCAAATGGAGGCATTATTTGAAAGAAAGGACATTTGTCATCCTAACCGACCGTGAAAGTTTGAAGCATCTATTAGGGCAAAAGGTCCACACTCACATTCAGAAGAATGGATTAGTTAAACTGTTGGGATTAGACTATGAAATAAAGTACAAACAAGGGAAGTATAACAAGGTGGCAAATGCCTTGTCTAGGCATCCTCAGTTCTCAAAGGGTTAATGTCAAGGAGTAAATGTTGTGCTTCCTGCTTGGCTGACTAAGGTGGAAGCTATTTATGAGGGAGATGAATGGGTTTAGGGGGAAGATGTTGGAGGTCTCTGTTCCTTTTGCTGGTACTACATTCACCACTTTAAAGCAAAGTATGTTGTATTATAAGAGTGCAGTATGTGTAGGAAGTAAGGGATCCACGAGGCATCAGTTTTTGGAGTTTTTTCATGATTCCAAAGGCTTAAGCAGTAATTCTGGTGGCCTGGGTTGAAGACTGAGGTTAAAGAATTCATTTCCCAATACTGTCAAGGTTGAAAATGTGCCTTACCCTGGATTACTTCAACCTCTACCAGTACAAGAAGGAGCTTGACAACACATCTCACTTGACTTTGTGGAGGGTCTTCCTAAATCTGCTGGTAAGGAAGTGATCTTGGTGGTCATTGACAGATTTTCCAAATATGACCACTTCTTTAGGTTAAGCATGCCATATTTAACAGTCACTGTGGCTGAGGTGTTCATGGATGGAGTTTTCAAGCTCCATGGAATACCTCAGACCATTGTTTCTAATAGAGATGCACAAGTAATTTCTATACCAATCTATTTGTCTTACAAGGTACCAAACTCCATTACTTAACAACATATCACCCACGGGTTGATGGACAAAGTGAGAGGATAAATCGTTGTTTGGAGGATTATTTGAGGTGAACAGTGTTAAATGGTTCTAAATCCTGGTCTTCCTGGTTGACATTAGCATAGTGGTGGTACCGGCCTCCAAGTGCCACCTTTTGAAGCTCTGTATGGTTATTGTCCTTCTTAGTTTGTAGTTCAAAACCCCCTTCTACTCCAATTGCAGTTGTGGCAGGCAAGTTGCGGGTGCAACAAAAGTTGGTAGGCCTTTTGAGAAACAACTTGGCTATAGCTCAAAATTGTCAGAAACAGCTTGTTGACAGGCACAGGACTGAGAGAGAATTCCATGTGGGAGAATGGTTTTACTTGAAGCTCAAAACATATAGACAAAAGTCAGTAGAACAAAGGGCTAATCAAAAGCTATCACCTAAATTCTATGGTCCATTTTCGGTGCTTCGGAGGATGGGAAAGGTAGCCTATAAGCTTCGATCACCCCAGTGTTTTGTCATTCATCCAGTTTTCCATGTCCCTTTGATGAAGCAAGCAAAGGAGCTCGTGTGCAGGTTCATCCTTCAAGGCCATAAATTGATGAAATTGTAACTCTCACATAGGAACCAAGCATGGTGTTGGCCAAGAGGTTTGTTTCGCGAGATAATAAAGCTGCCATTCAAATTTTAGTGCAGTGGACACATCAATTAGAAGAAGATGCCACATGGGAGTTTTTAGATGATTTGAAGAAGTTTCCAACCTTTCAGACTTGAGGAAAAGTCAGTGTTGAAGGGGAGGGACTTTGTAATAGACATGAGCAAATTGTACATAATAGAAAGTATAGAACTGCTATTGTAATAATCCAAAACAGGATGGATTGTGTGGATTGACAACTAGCAAGTGGGAATGGCTTCTTAAGCTAGTCGTTGTCAAATTGTTAGGCAATTAATGATCAATAACAGAAATTCCCCCTTCTTCTTTCTCTCTCTTCTCTTTGTTTCTTTGTCTCACGCGATTTCCCTTCTCTTATCCTTCTTCTTATTTGCTGAGCGGGTTCAGAGGTGACATCATCTTCTTCCTTTGGGTCCTATTGTTGGGTCACTTCGTCTTCCTCCAACGCACTGAATTTCGATTATGCTTGCAGCGCCTCACTATTAGCCTTCTCCTTGTTTTTGCAGCCATCCTCCTGAGTTCTCTTTTGTTACTTATTGTGCTTCGGTCGAATCATTATCATCCACTGTCTGTAATCCTCCAAAACTTCGGACCGGATTTCTTGGTTTGGCATTTGCATCAGGATATCCTTCGTGTTTTCTATTCCAACAAAGCATTCTCATGCTTCTTTTTCATCAGGCAGTTATCTTTTTAGTGACCACAGTGGCCACACCCAGAGCAAATCAAATGAAGACCTTCATATTCCACTCTTGGTCTATACTTAAGCACAAGCCTCTTTCTCAAATTGGTTTTCACACATATCCTCGCATAATTTCTTCTGAACCCATTGAGGTTTTATAATCAATTTTCTCAACCCTCCCCCAGGCTGCTTCTAATGCTCATTAGATCTCTTCATCAAAGTATGTTTTGCTCTGAATAAGTCTTTCTTTCAACATATAGTTTCAGTTTTAGCCCTATGTTGCTTATGTAAAGACATTAGTTTTGTTTTCCAATGCTCACTAGGATCTCTTCATCAAAGAATGTTTTGCTCAAGAGATGTAGCACAATTCTTTCTTTTAGTATTGTTTCAATTTTGACAGCCTTGTGCTGCTGATGTAAAGAGATTGGTTTAGTTTTCGAGGCCTCGCCAAATTGGTCAAGTGGAGCTTAATAGATTACCAATTACTGGCGTCGGGTTTAGTTTTGACACCTGTAAGGAGAATCGCCTGAGGGGAACACAAACAGACTATGGATCCATGGGCCTAGAGGGAGGAAGAGCATATCTTGAGATGGGTTCGACGACAAAACTCACAAGAGCCAATCCAAATATACCACTTGATTAACTAACAATGACATTGTCGGTCGTTTGGACACAAGTGCGAACATTACAACAAGTTACATAGCTGCCAATCAAGAGATTAAAAAGCACCAATGGCAGCTAATTTTACACTACACATCATTGTTTCCCAACTAAAAAAAAAAAAAAAAAATCAAAGTAGCAATGAGAAAGGGCTTCGACCGTTGCCTATTCTCCCTCCCCCCTTCTTTTGATTTCTGTGGTTTTTTCAGTTTTCTTGCCCTATATAAGAACTGTCTTCCCTACTGTTCCAAACTAAGCGCAATGCTAATACTTACACAAATTGGAGCTTCCATAGAACAAGATATTCACAGGGCTGCAGAGGGCAAATGATCAGTCCGTGCGTTGCAGGAAGGAGAAGCCCGAGTTTTCACGGATCAGAGGTGGTGGTTCGATCTCAGCAACTTCGACTTGCTGCATTGACTTGGAAATGTCGTCTACTGTGAATGGTATACTGCATTCCCAAAAACAAAAACAAAAAAGATCAATGGTTTTCTACTTTCTAATGGATTAAAGTAAAACCTTTTCATTCTACAAAAGAGGAAGTTGAATTGATGTTCATACCTCGAATCGTCATCCAACAAGAACGAGCTGCTGACCGCGTTATTCGTGTCCTCTGTCATCATGACTCTCATGTTTGAGATGACCTGAAAGAAATCGGAGGAAATACCGTTACCAAAGAGACAAGTAACCATCCGGAACACTTTTCATTGGTGGCAAGTCTAATGGTTAGTTGAGAAGAATCAAGTGGCTTACCTCCGATGAAACACTATGTGTCCCGTATTTGTCATCCCAGTACATGGTGCTGATTCTGTATAGTTGCTGTATGCTGAGGACCTGGAGATACCACGAAGAGAAGAGTCAGGGAAAGGTCAATACAAAGACAACAAAAAAAAAAAGAGGAAAACAAGCAGATACAGGATGATGAACGGTGCTATACTACTCACAGGGCAAAGATCGGTTGTAATTTCTTTCAACGCCTTCTTTGGCTTCTGATGTATGACCTGAATCGAACAAATGAACAAACCCAGTAAGAGAATGAAGGTAAGGCAAGAATGAGAATGGTCGTAGAAAGACAAGACATTTTGCTGGAACGAACCAGGAATCCGACAGCTTGTCTTATGTGTTTCAGTTCCTCCCATGCCGGGCCTACAAACTGGATCGAAAAGTTGCCGATAAGTGGGTTTCCAGAAAAAGGGAAGAATTTGGACTACCAAGATACCTCCAACTAGTAAATTACCTCCTCAGTTGCATCATGGCACCACTGCTCCAGTTCAGCCAACCCTGTCTTTACATACTCCCCGTTACTGAATGAGCAGCATTCTCGACGCAGAAGAAGGCTAGAGACAGCCAAACTCTTAGTTTTCAGTTGTGGTGTTCCAACAAAGTCTAGGAGACTAAAAAATTTGACCAGAAAGGACTAGAGGAGGTACCTGTTAAATAACTGAACGTTGATGAACGAGAATATCTGCGTGAAGACCTTTCGGACTAGGAATGCAGGTACCTGTGGGAACACAACATTGAAGATTTCATGCCGCATAAACAGGAAAAAGAGGAAAATTGATCTTCATTCACGTAGTAAGAACTTTACTCACATAGTTGGCTCTCATTGTTTTCAAGCAACTGTCCAGGGATCTCACTATGCTTTGCCAATGAGCAATAAGAGCTTGTTGAGCCATAGCATTCGCCTGAGCCCGTCCCTTGGCTAAACCAGCTCGTGATGTACGTGGTGCCTGCATTTAATATTTCCAGATGTGATTTACAACTTGCAAGAGAGGGGGCTCCAATGGATCTATGAACAATGGCATGAGGAATACCTGGATGCACAAGCCGATCAAGGGCGAGATCTCTTTCTTCAAATTGTCCCTTATCATTCCATATATCTTTTCCAGGAATGCCGTCAACTGCTGCTTGAAAAGTAAAGCAGGATACTTAGCTTCAACTTGACGCAACTCCTCCAGATCACCGAGCACCCTGCCATTGAGGAATGAGAAACCAGCACTTTGGGGAGAACCACGGAACCCCTGAAACATACAGTCAACCAGAAAATTGTAAGAGAATTCATTAAGTATGAACACCAAATGTCCTTAGTGAAAGAATGATTGAAAGCTGATAATGTTCTTCACCTGGGATACCCTCCCAAAAAGAGAAGAGGATGTTGATCTTCGGCGCTGTGGAGTTAAGCTAGCAGCACCGGTTGCTTTTAGTGTCCGTTGAAGCAGCAACAAGAGGGTTGTTGAATTGGATAACCAATACGACAACACGTCATTGTTATCCTGGGCCTTACCAGAGGGAAATGAGTAAGATCAGCAATAAGTAACCAGTACATACCTAAATTATGATAAATTCAATACATGCACATACATAATTCCCAATTCAAGGACAATCAATGAATGAATTGGGCGAACTGATTTTACCCGAATTTAAAGGAAATTTATGCATTGTAATTGTTCTGGATTTGCTGGATGTACCAAATGAGATCAATTAATTGTTACAAGCAGGAGACAGGGTTTTAGCTACCTCAATTGCTGAACCAATTGCCTGAATAATACGATCAAAAATACTAGTCCTTTCAACCTCGAATGACCTCCACTGAAGCAGGCATTTGTATATCAGGGAAGCAGCAACAGGTTTCCCCCCAGAGAATCCAAGGTCTTGAGCTACACATTTGAGTAGCATGTCTTGTATATCCTATAGGTCAAAGCATAGCAGGTAAAGACAATTTACAAGTTACATAAAGAGCAAACACCATCTGTCAAGAGAAGTGCAAACCCTGATTCTTTAGAGATGCATTTATTTCCATGTATTTCTAGAAACCTACCTGCTGCTTTTCGTTAAGAGATCTCTGGGGTTTGTCCTCGTTTTCAGACTCCCTTGTACTAGGCAACGCCAGCATTGTGTCCTACAAGGATTGGATAATCCAGAGAAAAAACAACTTCAAGCTGCTAGATAACAAAACATTGGGAAAAAGCATCTCACCAAGAATGTGTAATATATTACTCTTACTGGTGTTCGCCTTGTTTCTGAGTGAGGAATACTTCCATTCTCTGGGGTTCTCTGCAATAAGTCGGAAAAAAATCAGCTCAATCTCCATGCAGTATCTCATGTGTTGATAAAATGAACGGAATCTTACAATATATTAAAGGGGTTTAAAAAGAGGCCCTCCACGTCAGCCCTCAAGCATTCTCCGCAACTCTCGGTCATCAGAATTTTTATTTTAAATTTTTTAAATATTTCCCTCTGTAACTGTAACCGTTTTCCCGAGGACCTTCTTTGTTCAGTTTTGTAATAAGGCTTCCCGCATGAGAAATAAACTGGCCACAATTTTTCTCCTTCCTTTTCATTTTAATTAAATAGATTTTGTCAATCCAATACTCTTATACTCTTTTTTAGGAACATATGTGCAATTTATAAATGAGTTTCAGCATTTTGATTTTAAACTGAAATCTTTTAGCCGTAATTTATTAGTTTTCTTGGACAAGATTTATAGCACATTGGTATTTTCTAAATGAGATTAAAGTTATAATTTAACGATGTTAATGTGTTTAAACATATATATTTGAGGCACATACAAAATTTCATAATGATTGTAAGATTTTGTAAATTTTAATCATGAAATTAATTTGTCAACCTCCATGTCTTAAGTTACCATTTAAGAATGGAACCATTATGAGGGGGTATGCTAAATATTGAAAATGTTAATATGGGCAAACTCACTTGTGTAATTCGAGGAGAACGGAACTAAGGGTCAATGTATAATGTTTGATTTAAGAAGCTCATGTTAAGGAGTAATAAGACAGAGTAAATATATACATTGAGGTGTAGGAGAGAACAACAAATATTTTTTCTTCGACGAATTACTAATAAGAAGATAACAATATAATTTTTTTGAATAACTATAAAATTAAAAATGGATCGATATAAATAATAACAAATTATGCCCGTCCAAAGGCCGGGTACAAAGCTAGTTTATATTATACCTGAATAATGGTTGTCTTTGGTCTAAGGGCCAAGGCTTTTGCAGTTGGTGATATAGCAAGTGCCTGTTGACGGAGAACTTGATTCTCTGATTCTAAGTTGGATACCTTTTCTTCAAGTCTGCGGCGAAAGGTTAGGATGAGGATAAGATTGACGATACCCATTCATTAACATATCAATCACAACCGATGTAACAGACAGTTAACCAAGAGAGGAGTAGACAAGAAATGAGGAACTGTCACAAACCTCTGAACAGAATCTTGAAGTTGATCCACCTTCTTTTCCGAGTTTTCAAGCTTCTTACAAAGCTGCTCCTTCTGAGACTCAGCAACAGCACAAGCTTGTTTTGCCTCTTCTGCTGCTTGTCTTTGAGAGAGCAGTAAAGCCTAATGAAATTAAATTCTGTCAGCACGAGGTTTTTCCTTTCAGCTAGTGAACCTGGACAAATTTTACTGCAGTTCCAAGTGTCCTGAAAGTAACCCATCCTTCTCATCAAAGCACGGAGACATAATATAGAAATGGAATCTGCAAGGAGACCAATATCCCTGCACCACTAGGACACATACCTCCAACTTTCCAACTCTAGCAGTAAAAGAGCGAATTTTCTCTGTGTCTTCAACTACAACAGGAGTTTCCTTAATAACTGGAGGTGCTTCTTGAATAGCTTTCCGAGCTGCCTCCCGTTCCTTAACAACCAAAGCGTTGGCCTCTTCTACTCGTGATTGCATAGCATTTAATGCATTGTGAAGCTTGGCAACTTCTTGGGACTTAGCCTCCTCGAGATCGGTCTGTGTTTGAGCAAAAATAATCAGCCAGGTCAGGACCGGAGATCAGAGTAAAGCTAGCTATTTTTATTTTTTATGCAAGAATACATCTAAGCAGTAATCTGACTAAGAGCAGGCTGTGATGCAATATAACTACCCTTAGTCGTTTTTCCAATTGCAGGCGCCATGTGAGTTCCTCAACACGCTTTTCCAACTTATCCTTTGCTTCCTTAAGAGCTCCTGTCTCTCTAGCAGCCTGATCACATTCACAAGAAAATTTAGCACAATGTTCCCCCTCATGATTATATCTCATACACATGCTGATATCTCTAACAAGATCTACCATTTTCAGATTTCTGAGCTCTCTTCTAGCAACTCTGCATCTCCACCCACATTGTGTAACAATTGTAGCCTTCTGAAGACGCCTGTAGTAGGAACGAGCTTGGTAGCACCGCCAGTGAGACTAGGAACCAGGTAAGACGATATCAATGTTTCCCCAAATCGACGTAAAGGTATCACCATCTTGACAACAGAACAAACATAAAAAAAATAGGGTCATACCTGGATTGTGATGGCAGCTTTAGTTTGCTTTCTGAACCTGAAACCATTACGTGCAGCCATCGCCCTTAAGCCTGTCTGTAATGTTATAGCAGATGATCTTTTCCTTATGTAGAATTTTCTAGCAACAAAGAGGCGGAAGTTTTTCTGAATCTTCACAGCAGATGCCTCCCTCCTCAACTGCTCGAACATTCCACGGGCCTTATTACCTACAAAAAGAATTCCCGGAACGTTAATAAGACAAGGTAAATCTTTCCGATTTCTTGAACAATCAACCTGAAACATTTGACTAATAACTTTTCAAATACAAAAAGGGGAGCCAGTTTTCCTGAATCCTACTAAATAGGTGCTTCAATCAATTCAGTCGGCCATAACATTCCATAAACGTGATAAATAATAGAAATGGCGGTCCACCTCATTCTCACAACAAAACACAACTTATAAGAACTACCACTTTTTGATTGAGGTGGTTTTATTAGTAACTTAATTAAAGTCCAACAAATCACCTCGTATATAAGACTGAAGTTCCATAGCTGCCTTTCTTAATGAAATGAACTCCTTGCGAGCAATGTGAGTGCGGATTTGCCGCTGAATGATTCTAGCTGCATTTCCAAGTACTTCTGCTCTCCTGGCATCCAACTCAGCCATCTGACCTGCTCTCAAGAATACCTTTGTCTTGCCTATCTGCCAGATGTGAATTCACATATGTTGTCGGTGAATGCTTCCAAGTATGTCCAATGAAAAAAGATACACCGGACATGAAGGAACTAATGGAGCACAAAAGTTGAAAAAAATAGAAAGGTGCAAGTTTAATCACCTGGTACCCTTTAAGCCCTTTTCTGTCCAGAATCATTTGGCATGCAACCTTATCATCGTAACTGCAACAATCAAGATAAAGTACTAAAAATTATGTTCCACACCATCAATATAAACAAGGAATCCTTCCTGGATTTATCATACGACATTAATGAGTGAGAAAATTGTAGGAACTTACTTTTCATCTAAAATTTCAGGAGCTAGAAGACCAAAACGATTGAGAAACTCATAGAAGGCTCGCCTTGTAGGATACCCAGCACAGCTAATCCTAATTGCCTCAAGAACTCCCTATATTATAATGCATAAGCATGAACAGTTCGGTAGAAAGAAATTAAAGTAATAACAAACAGATTTTGGCAAAAAAAGTAATTTTCAAGTGGTTGAAAGATAAAGTAAATATAACTCGGATATAGTACTAACCCCACAACGTAACTGCTGAATGATATTAACGTTCTCAAAAATAGCAGGCTTCAGAACATTATTCGGCTTGACGCATCTAATGTAGTGAGGTTCCGTCACACTCAAAGTCTCCATCAAAGATTGAAGTTGTAGCTGGGATAAAGAGGTTAAGAAGTGTTCACATTATATTGCAACAGATAACTTGCACATTTGATTATTACTCACAAAGCTCAAGTGCCACAAGCCAATCCAAACATGAGAGTGAGAAAAGGCTACATTCATTACCTTAAACCGAGCACCAATAGAGGAGAATTTTGATGACTTAGATGATTCTTCTTTAAGTGGTGTGAACAATCCCATGACAAAGGGGCATTTTGAAGCAGTCATCACAGCTTGATGTTCAGCTATCACATAATCCTTATTTTTATCCAAAAATTGATTGGCTTGATAATTAACCTTCAATAAGAAAAGTACAAAAATAATGAATTCAGGAATCAACCGTGTTAAAAAAAATGAACAACTGTTTGACATGATTGTAAAATGAGTGTACCTCCCCAGCATAGTGTAAGATAGTGAAATCCGTACGTGATAGCTTCGGTTTGATAAAACGTTTGTTGTTCTTGAATGTCTGGTACAGCTTCTGAGCAAAAGTTTCATGCGTCGATTTGGGAAACATGCTGCAAAAGTATTCAGAGAGTCTAAGTGGAGCCCTCAAACCGATTCCATCATGAGAGCACGATGATCCAAAAAATGAGAAGAAGCCTAATATGGTAAAGCTTGAACAGAGAATTGAACAGAACAACATACCAAGCTTCATCTAGAAGAGAAATTATTCCTCCTGGTTTCTGTTAATGGCCAAAATAGCAGTTCAGTGCATTATCTAGATTTGATACTAGAGTGACTCAATAAGTGATGAGTATCCATTAACTTCTTATAGGATTTTGATGAACTACCCATGTGTCACAATGAGCCATGCGACCAAAATTGCATGTTTCTTTAAGAAGCAAAATATGGGGGTAAACAATGAGTGATCGACACTATAAAGAATGCTGCGTATTAAATACCTTCTCAATCAGATCCAAAACATCCTGGTTATCAACAAATTCTATGTAACTCCAGTCTATCTCCTCTTTGGTATACTCTTCTTGTTCCATTTTGAACACATGCTGCAAATAAAGAAGCAATTATGAGAAAAGACTGTTCACTCCATTTGAATGGTAACAGAAACCCATTGGTTTGTGAAGTGGCCTAACCTGATTGAAATGCTGCTGTAATTTTTCATTGGTGAAATTGATGCAGAATTGCTCAAAACTGTTTCAGAAGCACAAATTTAAAAGCAGAAGCTCAAAACTATATCTCATACAAAAAGGTAAAAGGAAAGCCTTACAGCAGGTAAAATTCCAATATTTGAAGAGAGTACATACAGTGATCAGTTATGGAAGATCCACACCAAATAACAACCTTAATACTAGCGACTTACCTGTTGCACTTAAAGCTTTCAAAACCATAGATATCCAGAACTCCAATTATTGATTTAGAATCTGGGTCCTGTCCAATTGAAACGTTTATCTTTTCTACAATCCTGGCAGTAAGTGAAGAAAAGTAATAGTAAATTATCAACCATAGTAAAGAGGTAGTAATCTGCGAAACTAGAATATCAGAAGCACGAGGAAAATAGATGTGATTTGTATGAGCTCCTCACCAATCGAACAGACGAGAGTATAAAGTCTTGGCCAAAGCATCCCTGCTACTGACAGCATTCTCAGGGTCAAGTGTTCTTGTGATAATTTCTTCAGGTGTAACCATCACACGTTTAATAAGGGCATCTTCTAAGTTCGTTGGATCACACCTACATGAGGTAGGTTAAAACTGATGCAGGGTGACTTTATGTACCTACATATATTAAAATATAAAGGGAAATCCGCACCTGAGGAGCTCTGCAGTCGTATCAAGATGAAATCTGGATTTATCATCTTTAATCTTTGACGAATCAATCTCTGCTCCCTTAGCAAATTCAATGTTTCCAAGATGAAGAATTGCAGCTACAACCCTAAAAATTGCTTCCTAACGGCATTGCAATGTGTTATCATCCAATTTGAACACCAGGTTTTACAAAATAGGATTTTTTTTTTGTGAAGGTACAAAATAGGATATATCATAATGAAACTCGAGCAGATTCTAGAAACAAACCTGTTCTTCTTCACCAATCCCAACTATATCCATAGCCCTTCTAGTTTCAAGATATTCATGAGCATCATTTACCCCATCCAACTCATAACACTTTGATTGATTTAGATAATGGAAAGATTTTGGGCTCCCCAATTTGTATTTCTCTTTATCCTTCAGGGAGAAAACAGAATCTTGTAAAATACTTTACAGGATATGAATGCACTGCTCGGTTACCAACACAAAGACCAACTCCAGTACAAAGAAGTACAAGAGAAGGTTTTACCTCAGCCGGTGCCGCACAAAGAAGATAAAAGCAATGATAGTTTCTTTCTGGATCAGAAATTTGGCACACACGAGATCTTTCGAGCAGATAAGTTCTGATAGCAGCGCCAGATATTCTACCGCTCTTATCAAATTGGATCTCAACAAATTTCCCGAAACGGCTACATTTATGAAACACAATCAAAATGAATATAAAGAAAATAGTTCTGCGATAACACTGATCTCAAGAAATCCATAATCCATGGTGATGCATACCTAGAGTTGTTGTTGCGAACAGTTTTGGCGTTACCAAATGCTTCAAGAACTGGATTTGACTGTAGTTAATGCCAGAACAGAAACATCACTCTTCCCGGCATTACATAATTCTCAAGGATATAGCTAGCTTAGAAGGAAACTTGCCAACCGAAAAATAAAATTAACTAAGTTTACCTCCAGAACTTGTTGCTCAACAGTCCTTCCTTCTACTCCAGATCGCCCTCCCAAGAAGGCAAGATATCTCATGAGCATCTTTGTAGTCTCGGTTTTTCCGGCACCACTTTCACCACTAACTAGGATTGAATTGCTTTTCCCTTCATTAACCATTGCCCTATATCTCTTCATCCTCAGGACATCAGTAAGAACCATATATAGATTATGAAGACACATCAGTACACGAGAAAGAAACCTGACCTGTACGCAGCATCTGCAACTGCAAAGACATGAGGACTTAGCTCTCCAAACGCAGCGCCTTTATACTGTTCCATCATGTGAGTATCATACAGATGGGGCAACCTTTGAAATGGATTGACAGCTATTAGGATATTGCCGGTGTATGTCTGAGAGAAGCAAAGCACAGACATTAAATGTCTTTACCCATATATCACATCCTCTTTGCATTGACCAATTGATGTAATAAAAGAGAATGGTAATGTTATAACTCACATAGATTTCATTAAGCTCGTATCTGGTTGCCAGATTTTGCAGAACTCCAGGTTCATGCAAATAGGAAAGCTTGGTCATGTCATCTACACCACCAGGTGGGGCTTCAGTGTCCTTGGGAAATACTTGCGACATATTCGTGACAACCTGGAGAAAATCATTGATTATTGACCAAATTCAAATTACCCAGAGAATCAGCTCTCCCAGCAAAGGAGGTTCGGACCAATGAAACTGGCGAGCTTACATTTTTCCCATTTGTAGTCCGTACATGGACATCTTTGCCACTTATCCTTGTAACTTCACCATCAATCCACGCCAACTTGGGATCTTCAATCCACACATGAGAACCAACGATTATGTTGTCTGGTGCAGCCTGCAAATAAATAAATAAAAGTTTGTTCAGCGTCTTCCAAGTAACCATTCAAATTACAAAAGTGCTGGGAAAGGATGGTCCACAATCAATGTAGGCTAGCAGGCGCCTAAATGGCAAGTTGCGAATAAAAAAGGTTCCTTCTTTTCTAAGAAATACCAGCTAAAGGACCACGACTTGTTCGAGCCTTTCGTATTAACGAATAATGTGAAGAATATTCAAGGCCAATGCCACAATCAGAGCTCGACACTAAACTTGCCAAAAACTACAATTGGCCAAAACCAGCTCATCATAAACTTAGAAACCTGACACTCAGAAGAAGAAGAAAACTGCCATAGAACAAGAAGCCAGTTGCCAAAAATGTCAATCGACCAAATCGGCTCGATCGATCTCTGTGTCTCTCAAATTGATTATAAAATTAATGCTGGAACCGACTACAATGCAGTAAGAACAGCTGCCTTGACAAGCTACCAGAAATTCACAGTTTTTCTTTACTTCGCAATAACTCGGAATTCAATCCCATAGAGATGCTAAACCCTTTGTCTCGAAATTCATGGGATGATATGGAGGAGGAAAGTACGCAATATAAGGGAAGGGAGAATCCAAGTCCCCCATAGTCAACAAAAATTTTAACCAGAATCAATAAGCTGACACAGAAACCCAAAATGAAGAACCACAAAGCAAGGAAAAAACTTCACACCACAATGGAAGTGGAGAACTAATCCCGAAATGAAGCCCACACGCCAACATAATCAAGCCGAACAATCAAAACAGCAGTTCGAATGACAAAATTAAAAGTTCAAGCTTTCAGCTCAGGAATTTACCATTCGATGACACCAAAGCAACAGATCCTGCTTAACACAATCCTCCAACGCTCATCCAATGGAGAACACCCAGTTCCTCCAATGGTCCAAAAGCAACCCCCAACAAGCGAAACAACGCAGAGCTTTCAAATTCCCAGCCGAAACCGAAAGCAACCTCACAACCCTCCTTCCTTCCTTCCCTCTCTCTTTCTGTCTCTAAAGAATTTCAAATGAATAAATACCAACGACTCCTAAACTGTACACAGACCTCTCTCTCTCCCTCTTTCCCCACTCTATATCTGAAAGCAAGCCACTTTGAAAGACGAAGGAAAGAAGAACAATTTCCCTGATTCTGTGTTTCTTGAATTTCGAGTTTCTCGCCACAGCAGCAGGCCGCCTGGTGTTGGTTTGTTTTCTTTTTCTCTCTGTAAAGTTCGAAGCTTTGTTGGGTTTTGGATTTTGCTTGGGTCGGATTTGGGAGGGAGGGGTGTCCCCACACAAAACAAAAGCTCTCTTCCTTTGCTCAGAAACTCGAAAAACAAACAAACAAACAAATGGAGTGCTTCGGATTATCTGAAAAGGAGTCATCATGGTCTACTTAATCTCAAGATTAAGCAGAGGAGTTTACTTCCCCTTCTAGGTTTACCTATTTACGCATATACCCTCGTATTGTGAGTCAATTACTCAATTAGCTTTCTATTTTAGTTTTTTTTTTTCCTTCAAAATTGTAACACCTGAGGTGTTGTGATTTAAAAATACGATATTTATCCAACTTTTTATAATAATATGTGTGTATTGTTTGAAGATGTAGATGACATGTTAATAAGATGAAATCATTAATTGGATATGGTTGAAATAAGTAAATCGTAATCATTGCCAATATTATGTACAACTACCACTTATGGCTTGATCCTTTATCAAACATAACCCAAGTGAGTATTTGATCAAGTGACAATTTGTGTAGAACTTTGTCTATGACTGAACTTCAATTTTGCACAAAAATTGACTCTTTTAATCTAATTAACAGTTGGAACTAACGCTAGGGGAAACTTCTATGTTGTTATATGGTCAATTTATAAATCATGCATGCTTTAATTAATTTGTCAAATTTGAAGCTGGCAGATGATTTTTTTTATTGTATGAGTAGGAGCTAATAATGACAAACGTTGACACTTTTTTTTAGGTCAATTTCTTTGATATCTCATTTCTCGAAATTACAATGTATGTATCAGTCATAATATTTTACAGATGATTTCACAAGGAGTTCGAAAAATTCTATTTTTAATCGGTATCTATCCATTCTCATTTCACTTGTAAATCTATGTAAGGATGATTAATGGTTAATCGATATCAATAAAGCTAGAAAAACACACATAAAAAATGCTGATGTGAAAACAGGGGAAGGGCACTTTGGGGATTGAAGCAGCTCCCCAAAACAGAGCCTTACACGACAAGAAATGAAGAAAAAGAGATGTCTTAGTTGTAACCTGCATAAATTATTAATTAAATTAGGAGTTTTAAACTACATTTAATTCGTTGATTTTCCTAACTTAATTTCGTTTTTGATAAATTATTTTCGTTCCAATTGGTGAGCATATAGACAGAAAAAGGGAAAAGGAAGAAACATGAATGAATGCATCGTTCATGTCATTTGAGGTCCACCACAATTTATTAACGTTGGTGACACTTATTTTAATAAAAGTTTCTGAAATTAAAAAAAAAAAGTTTCTGAAATTAATAATATACCCAAGATGGTTATACGAGAAATTTTTTAAGGAAAGAAATAATAAGGTTGTCAACCCGCGGGTCGACCCACTTTGATCCTGGGCCAGTGAGTAAAACGGACCGCACGCACCCGTCGGGTCGACCGCTACAAGGTACTAGGTTGGAGGTCAAATTGTGTCATTTTTTTCTTTGGTTTGCGAAATGCGTCTATTTTCCGATCTTTCTTTTCGCCTAACTCAATTTTTGGAATCCTAAGTTGAACATTTGAATATTGATGTTATATAAGTGTGTGTGTGAATTTTCACTATATGTTGGATCTAAGTACGATATGTTATTTTGATGAAATATTCTATGTTATAACTCTTATGTTAGATGATATTTGATATAATTTATCGGAATTAGACAATTAGTACAATATAACGAATCTTTCCATATTTCCGAGCTAAATTGGGTGACCCATTAATATTTGACCAACTAGCTCGATCGGGTCCGATTCAACCGCTGGTTTGACAACCTCGGTCAAATAATGAAAGATGAGTGCTCGTTCGTTCTTCTGCAACAATGATCATACGTTGACATATTAAGTTTTTTTTATAGGAAAACTAGGACATATTAAGTTAGGTACCATGTTAAGTTAGATTTACTACTATTACAATTTACAAGATTAAATGCACCTAGGGTAGGTAACATGTTAAGTGTAGGTTGATGTTCATATATCCTTTATGTTTTCCCCCACTTTTAGCTATATGTTTAGTCTAACGAGTATGATTGGGAAACGGTGCGGTCTGATCCAGATCAGACCATATATACGATTTATGGTCCAGACCGAGAGGTTAAAGTATGGACCACAGACCAGACCACAGACTATACGGTCCGGTACAAACCACGTCTGTGCGATCTGATTCGGTCTGATCTGGTCCAGATAGACCACACTCAACGAAAAATGAATAATTTGTTTAGTCAACCACACAAAAAATTGAACCAATAACCAAGACAAATAATTTTTATTTGCCTTAAAACATTAGTCCCAACATGCATGAATAATTTTGATACTCTAAATCTTAGTACATAACAAAGATACAAAGTAAGAGCATCCCAACTTGCACCATAACGTCATGACATTAACATAATCTCATATAGAGACACGATTATGAATTATCTATACTCTCTGGTTAAATGTGGTTGTTAACACATATTGACAAGTCAGTTGGGTCCACGGTTTGGTCCGATAAACCGCGGTCTAGAACAGACCAGACTAAGAGATCAAAACGTAAAATAATACAGACCATGAACCAGACTAGACCATATTTAACGATCTATGGTCCGAACCGAACTATACGGACCACGGTATTTCTAGCGGTCTGATATATTTTCCCGGCCCTACTAACGAGATGATCTTTGTCGTTAATAAAAAATGTCACTAAAAATTGTAGGCCTGCCATTGAACCTCCATTTGTCATGTTATATAGAGCTATGAATTGCTATTGAGGTACATATATAGCCTTGAACTATGTGAACCAGTGACTAAGTATGGTCGGCCTTTATAAACACAAGAAGCGTATACAACATATTTATTACATAGATTGGCCGCCCAAATTCCAGTATCGTTCAACAATATTTGTACGGGTTAATTGCCTGGTTAGTCACTGGGATTATAAAAAAAATGTTCAAGTTTGATCATTCAAAATATTTAAATCTATTGATGGTACTTCAGTTCATGCAAACCGTTCACATTTGGTCACTCTCCATCCAACTCTGTTAACTTTGACTAATGTGGCAGTCAACTCTCAAAGTTGAACGTTAACTTAGTGACTTGGCAACTAAAATATTATTAAATATAAAAAAATAAATTTTAATATTTTCCATTAACCCTATCCGACAATCCAAACAATCTCAGCTTTTAGTTAATATTGTATAATTATTCATAATGGATGATTGTTCCTATCATATCAAGTAAACATTACATGTATTCTCTGTGCATAAAAACAGAAAAACAATAAATTATAAACCATACAAATGTTGTAACAATCACAACTAAACAATCACACAAATTAAACGATCACTTGTGTGTTATTTGGATTAGAACAACTCATCTAATTTACTCATTCAAACTATCCCACACAGTCACCATACCCAAACCCATTTATTTGATTATCGTGTATAATTTTTGTCACCAAATGTTTTACGTACAAACTTCCTGCAATAGTTGGCGAAAAGTTTATGCCAATTGTCATACTTTTTTTTTCAGGTATTGTTTTTATAAGTTAATAAAAAAAGTGTCGCACAAAATGACAATCTTGTTCCAAATTATGCATTTGGTATTTACGATTGTTAGAATTGATGTATGGTATGAATGCATGCATTGTTAGAATTGATGTATTGGTTAAATGGTTGCATTTTAAGATTACAATGTTTGGTAGTTGTGATTGTATATTTAAGAATATAGTAGGAAAATCCATTTTTGAATGAAAAAACACATTTACCCTTCCTTTTAGAACAAATGTCAATCACATATAAAAGTTGATGAGAGCATAAAAGAGAAGAAAAGTTTATTCACAATGTCAAACACAATATCAACAATCTCACCAAATAGTTGACATTCTAATTCATTCATTTTGAATGATTTCAAATGTCACATTAACAATCAAATACAAGCATTGTGTTTCATTTTGCAACAAAAAAACAAGGCAAAATACACATGTATAGCCATAACTTTCACGTTTTTGACAAATATAGCCATATCTATTCGAAAACACGAAATAGCCAATTCCGTCCATTTTGGTAATGGTGTTAATAGACGTTATGACTAGACTAACGGCTGACGCTGAGTTGGCCCCTGAGTTACCCTACCTTCCTACGTGGAAATGAAAAAAATGAAAAAAAAATCTAAACAAAAAGAACAAATTAACACAAAATCCCCAATACAACCACATGAAATCCCTAAAATCTATTTGCCCTTTGTCTATCCCTAGAAATCAACACTTCAATCTACATCCTCTCTGCCGGCTGGATCCCCTCGAGGTCGAGGAGCACCTCAAGCAGCCGCCGCAACCCATCGCCACCTGAAATACCACCACCACCAGCACTCCTTCATCCTCAATCCTCGTCGCCGTCATGGCAGCTTCATCCATGGTTGGCTCCGCGGATGAGGCAGAGATTTAAGATGTGGGAGAGCGAGTTGAGAGGGTTCGAGCAGCTGGGGATGGTTCATGCTCGTTCGATTGGGGGAAATGGTGAAGGCGAGCCGGTACGAGGAGCTGAAGGGGGAGAGGGCTGCGGTGAAGGAGGAGCTGCAGGGCCTAGCTGTGCGGTAGGATCGGTGAGGCATATCTGAATCGGAGACGGAGGGGTTTGGGTATATTCTCTGGAGATTTTGGGTATTTCTGGGTTTGAGATTTTTGTTGCAGGGAAGGGAATTTGTTCAGAGACGGAGGGGGTCGGGTCTTTGGTTGGGAGCAATGGTCGCCGGTTGGGAATGACGATTGATGCGGCGGTGGTGGTGGGAAAGTCTATTTATGCGGCAACGGCGACTTCGATTGAAGTTGTGCCTCTCCTGGGAACGACGACATCGTTGGCGATTTGGGAGGATAGAAGGGTCCTAACGAGAACAACGGAAGGTAGAAGAGATTTTGATAGAGAAGAAGTGAAGAAATTGACTTTTTTGGTGATGATTCAGCCTCTGTTTATCTCTGCCATTGAGATGGTGGGGGAGTCCATCGGAGAACAGATGGGGAAGACAAAGGAGAGGAGAGAGGGAGAGGAGACTGGATATTGAAAAGGAAAAAATAAATAAATATTTTTATGCTTTTAA